CCGGGCGCACCGCTGTCCCTCGCGCCGCGCCCACCCGCCGGGGCCCTGGGACCATGGAGGACGTGAAGCTGGAGTTCCCCTCGCTCCCACAGTGCAAAGACGACGCCGAGGTGAGCGCCCGCCCCGTCACAGGCCGACCCGGTACTCCGGCCGAGCCGTGACTGGCCCTACCATCGTAGACGTTTCCCTTTCCCTTTGGGGGGCATCCGTGAGGTCCTAGTAGAGTATCCAACCTGAAAAGTATCCCTGACCTCTCGCCTCCGCGTTGGGGATTTACTTGAAGATAGACTCATTTTTGATTGCCAAAGCAACACGCTGTGGAGTTGTTTTTAATCTGAGCTTGATGTTAAATTCACACGCGGGACACAGCCCCACGTGTGGAATAGACCGGAGGCGTAAACTCTGGAATTGCACCCTCGTAATAGTTCCCCAAGTTACAAAAAAAAAAAAAAAAAAAAAAAAAAAAAAAAGTCACAAACCTAGCTTTGAATTTTAAAACTTTTAATCACAAATCTTGCCCTAGGAGGCAGTTTACTGTTGAGAGCAAATTACTTTTACCTTCTCCCGATTCCATAATTCAGGGTTCTTTTTCACACCACCTTGATTTTTCTCTACCTACCACTTGCAGAGATTTTCCCCTCCTTTGTTGTAATTTATGGTGTCAGAAACAATTAACTAGGAGTTCAGTAGAGGCTGTTAGTAACAAGACAAGGACTGTTAGCTGTGATACTGAATAGGATCAAGAAAGGATTCTAGAGTTTTGTTTGTGTGTTTTGAGACAGGGTCTGTCAACATAGCCTTGGCTGTCTTGAAACTCAATATGTAGAATAGGATGTGCTCAAAGTCACAAAGATCCACCTGCCTCCCAATCCCAAGTAATGGGATTTTAACCGCGTGCACCCTTTCATCCCTCCAAGTGCTTAAAAGGTATTTGGAGGGGAACTTATTTCCACAACTTGGGAGGTGGAAGCAGAAAGATCAGGAGTTCAGGACAGGCTTGGTTTGTATAGCCAGTTTGAGGCCAGTTTGAGTTACATGAGACCCTGTCTCAAAAAAGTAATTGCTTTATTTTGGATTGAGTTTATGCCACATACTCAATTCTCTTGAATATCTTCATTTGATGCTTACTTTTTTGGTGTTTGTTTTGTTGTGGTGTTTTTTTTTTTTTTTTTTTTTTTTTTTTTTTTTTTTTTTTTTTTTTTTGTTTTTTTTTTTTTTTTTTTTTTTTTTTTTTTTTTTTTTTTTTTTTTTTGTGTACATGGTTTCTATGTAGCTCTGGCTGCCCTGGAACACCCAGTGTGCAGCGGTCTGATCTTAAACTTTTTTTTTTTTTCTAAGACAGGATTTCTCTGTAGCTTTGAAGCCTGTCCTGGAACTAGCTCTTGTAGACCAGATTGACCTCAAACTCACGGAGATCTGCCTGCAACTGTCTCCTGAGTGCTGGGATTAAAGGCGTGCGCCACCACTGCCTGGCATGGTCTTAAACTTAAAGAGGTCCACCTTTCTCAGTCTCCTGAGTCCCGGTATTAAAGGTGTGTGCCACCAAACCTATTTTTTTAAAATGATTTTTAATTTTAAGACAAGGTCTTATGTAGCCAGGCTGGCCTGAAAGTTGCTGTAGCCAAGGTTGACCTTTAACTTCTGATCTCCCAAGTAGATAACAGGCATTTGGAGAATTCTCTCTCTTATTTGTAGTAGTGAAGCTTGAGATAGGAATATATTTTAAGTTGAATCATAAAAAAGAAATTTGCACTTTTTTCTTTAACATACAGTGATGTGAATGAGGTATACTTTTTGTCCTCAAAAATAGTAATTTCAGTTCTGCAAGCAGTTTCCCTTGTGATAGAACATGATGGAAGAACACACAGTCTTATGACCTCCACTCAGGCATTGTTTGGAACCACAGACACAGATTGAGGTTTACTTAGAATAAGGGTTATATCCAGGTATACCACAGTACACAATGACTTTACAGTCTTGACTCCTGGTTCTTTAGGCTTTTTAAATACATCTTAATTCTTCCCTCTTAGAAATTCTCGTTTAAATTTTTTTCATATTTTATTCTGTTTATAGTATATTTATTCCCTGGGAAAAACTGTAACTTCTTACTGGGAATAATAACTTTTATCTGATTAACAACATCAATTTACTATTTCTCAGTGATATATGTAAAGCATCAAGAACAATCAGCATTTTCTTCCACGTAGAAAACCAAAATTTCAAACCAAATCCTGCTTTGGTAAAAGTGAAATTCAAGAAAGGAGATTTGAAGTTGAATGTGGTAGTGTGCACTTTTAATCCCAGTATGCTTTGCTCTTGAAGCAGAGGGCAGGCAGATTTCTGCCAGTTTGAGACTACCCTTGTCTACATAATGAGTTCCAGGACAGCCAGGGTTACACAGAGAAATGGCGGGGATGGGGATGTTTAACTAGGCTGAAGTTTAGGCCATAGTTAAAGTTTTTTGTTTTTTTTTTGTTTTTTTTTTTTTTGAGACAAGATTTCTTTGTATAGTCCAGCTCCTCTCACAGTTCTCTTTGCCCCAGACCCGTTTAATATCCCATACTACTGTAGCCCTTATTTATTTTATATACCTACCATCATAAAATTATTGCACTTATTACATTTTTGTTGTATTTTTTCATGATAGGCTGAACCTTCTATAAGGGGATATGGTTGCATGGGGTCTAGAGTTTGAGTCCCCAGAGCTCACTAAAATCTAGGGAGATGTGTGATTTCAGCACATGGAGCTGGAGAGATGGGATCCAGGAGCAAGCTGGCTAGCAAGTGGAGTCAAGAGTTCCAAGTTTAGCAAGAGACCCTACCTTAATAAATAATGCAAAATAGTCAGATGGGCACACACCTTTAATCCTAACACCCAGGAGTGATGGATGTGGTTGATCGGTAGTTAGAATTAACCAGACTAGATTAATATAAAAGATTCAGCTTTAATAAACGGAAGAAAGGAAACTTACAAAACCAGGATTCCAGGGATCCAGGAGGCAGGGATCAAAAGGGCAGAGGCAAGGGCACCTGGGTGTTTTATCTGTTTTCTTTGGCCCCAGGGGGACACACCCTAAACAGAATGTGATTGGCTGAGCTTCCCCATCACAGGAGTCTGAGGCAGGCTGATCTCTGAGTTCCAGCCCTGCCTGATCTACATACTAAGTCCCAGGTTAGCCAGGGCTACTCAGTGACCCTGTCTCAAAAATAAAACAAACAAATAGATAAATAAAATAAATAATTAGAAAATAAAGAGCAACTGAGGAAGACACTAGATATCAACTTCCCACCTCTATACATGTACACATACACACATGCTAAATTGAAGGAGCTCAGGAAAGTCCACCCCAAAATAGTACTGTTTGACATACTGATAACTTTGAGATATAAAAACAGCAGATGTAGAAGAGGCTTTCTGAATGCCCCTTAGTTGCCTATAGATACAAAATGAATTTAATTCCTTCTCAGGACGTTTAATAAATGACAGAAAATAACTTACATAAGAAAAGAAGTAGATACCATACCAAGACTTATCACAAGCCATCACCTGATCTTCTAAGAGTCCATGCATATCTGTTTGTGTCTTTTTCTTAAGGATACACACACATACAGGTCTCAAAATTCTTCCTATCCTACCTCAGACGCCCAAGTGCTATGCCTGCAGGCATGTACCACCATAGGCTCCTAAATGTCACTTGTGTTAGATGATTACCCTGTGCACGTAGTAAATTTATCCTTTTTCTCTTATTAGTCTATTTACTATCAGTTTATTGCATATTCTCAATTTTTATCATACCCTAGAGCAGTAGTTCTCAACCCTTTGGAGGGGGGTCACATAGCAGATATTTGCAATTCATAAGAGCAGCAAAATTACATTTATAAAATAACAACGAAATAATTTTATGTTAGATGTCACTGCAACACAAGGAACTGTTTTAAAGGGTTGCAGCATTAAGGCTGAGGACCAGTGTTCTAGAGGATAGTCTTCCCTCTTCACACAAGTACCCCTCAGAAGATCTGGACACTTCTATATGTGCTTCTGTTTTGTTTCTTATTTATTTTTCTCTTTTTGGTTTCTCAAGACAGCGTTTTTCTGTGTAGCCATGACTGTCCTGAAACTAACTCTGTAAATCAAGCTGGCCTTGAACTCAGTACCACCTGCTTCTGCTTCCCAATTGATGGGCTGTGCCTCCCTGGCTTTGAAGAGCACTCTTATGCATTGTGACAAGGATGCTGAAGTGTAGCTCTCCACAGTGGACAGCTTCTGGCATGAGAGTGACTAGGAAAAGACTCAGTTTTCTTTTTTCTTTTTTTGGTTGAGACAGGGTTTCTCTATGTAACTTTGGAGCCTGTCCTGGAACTTGCTCTCGTAGATCCGGCTGGTCTCGAACTCACAGAGATCCAGCCACCTGCCTCTGCCTCCTGAGTTCTGGGGTTAAAGGTGGTGTACCACCACCTCCCGGCAAGGGGCTACTGGGAGTTTGAGCATGTTCCAGTGAGTATATAGACAACACAAATTGGACTTGTGTTTTGTTTTCTTCTTTTGTAGGGGTTGATCATAAGGTAGGGGGTGGACCTTGGAGGACTGGGAAGTGAGTGTGATCAGGGTATATAATGAGAAATTTACTAATCTATAAAAATAATACATAAGGGAGTTGGGGATTTTTGTTTTGTTTTGTTTTGTTTGAGACAAAATCTCACTATGCAGTGCTGGTTGACCTGAACATTGTATAGACCAGGCTTGCTTTGAGCTCATGAAGATTCACCTGCCTCTGTCTTCTGAGTGCTGGGATCTGCCATGCCCAGCTTGGAAGAAATCTTTAAAGTTTGTAAAATCTTATCTGTGTGCTGTTGTAGGAGGAGCAGGGCCCCTTGTTTGTCCTGGCTGCCCGAAATAATCACACAGAAATTGTAATAATTACTTCCTGGCCCATTATTTCTTGCCTCTTATTGGCTAACTCTCCCATATTAGTTTAACCCATTTCTAATAATCTGTATATCACCACAAGGTCATGGCTTACCAGGAAAGATTCTAACCAGCGTCTGTCTCAGACAGGAGAATCATGGCGTCTTCCTGTCTCTGCTTTTCTTCTTCCCAGAATTCTGTTCTGTCTTCCCCACCTACCTGAGTTCTGCCATATCAGCTAGGCCAAGGCAGTTTTCTTTAATAACCATTGAAAGCAACACAAATACAGAAGGGCCTCCTACACCAGTGTGCATAAGTGGGTACGCATGTGTATTCACCCACAGTCCTTTATCGCTTTGCCTATTCTGAGCAGGGTCACTGTCGTGAGTATGGTGCTCATTTTCTCTTGGCAAAGCTGAAAACCAGGAGACCCAAGCAATCCTCCTGTGTCTGCCTACCTCAGAGCTGGAGTTACATGAATTGGTGGGTTTCCTGGCCTATGACATGAGCACTGGGATCAGAGCTCTGGTCCTAATGGCTGAGGCACCTTTCCAAGGATGCTTTTATGTGGCATTGCCTTCTGTTTATTCCTGTTGGTTTTCTGAGCTTTTACACTGGTGGTTAAGGTACTGTGTTGCTAATTTTTTTTATCTGCATGACACAAGCTATAGTCATCTGAGTAAGCATGCTGAGCAATTATGAGAAACAAGCCAGTAATTAACAGTCCTCCATAGCCTCTGCATCAGCTTCTGCCTCCAGTTTCCCATCTAGTTTGAGTTACTGCCTCGGCTTCCCTCAGTGGACTATGACTCAGGATATGTAAGCCAAATAAACTGTTTCCTCCCCCAAGTTGCTTTTGGTCTGGTGTTTGATAACAGCAATGAAAACCCTAATACAGACATACTTTTGAATTTTTCCTATCATGGCTTAGTCTAATTCTTTTTGTTATATAGTGTGTCATTTTAGCTAAGTGCTCTGTTGTTGTTTAGTTGGTTTTCTTGAGAGGTTTCTGTGTGTAGCTCGACTGGCTGCTCTGGACTCATCCTGTAGACCAGGCGGGCCTCAAGAGATTCGCCTGCCTCTGCCTCTCATGTGCTGGGATTAAAGGCATGTGCCGCCATGCTCAGTTTAGGGGCTCTGTTTAGAGTACAGTATATAGGTATTAAATGTATAACTCAAGGAGTTTTGGTTGGTACACTGTACTCATTACGACTGGCTACTGCTGTATCAAGATTGAAGAATATATCAGTATAGAAAGGTATCATTGAGACTGGAGAGATGGCTCAGTGGTTGCTGCTTTTCTAATACTCTTGGATTTGATTGCCAGCACCAACATGACAATTCACAAACATCTGTAATACTTTCAGAGAATCTAACACCCTCTTCTGGCCTCTGAGGGAACCAGGCACACAGTGGTACACAGAATGCAGGCAAAGCACTAAGACAATGTAAGCAAAAGAAAATAAAACTAAAAAAGTGTCCTATATCTGTTCAGACGTACTACCAGGCAGATTGTACCCTGATTTCTGTCACCAAAGATATCTGCTGTAGGGGTGTGTGTGTGTACACAAAGCAGCCCTGGTTTATTCATTGTGTAGATCAGACAGCCTTAGACCTTTCTGGCAGTCCTTTTACTTCTGCTCTCTAAATTCTGGGATTGTAGACATATGTCACCATACCAGGCTATTTTTATTTATTTGCAGTTCTAGGGTTCAAACTTGTGTCCTCATGCATGTCAGCCAAGTTCTACCACTGAACTCTTATCCAGTGTTGTAAAATGTTTTCAAGTTTAATGTAGTTTGTTTTTAGGGGGTGCAACTCTGTGGTAGACAACATGCCAAGCATGCATAAGGCCATGGGTTTGCTTTCCCAGTACCACACATGCAAAGGTATAATGTTTTTAAACTCTGTATTAAAAAATTACTTATGCTTAATGTCGAATTGGTTCTCTGATTTCATCTGTTCGTGGGTGCTGCTGTGGAATTCAGGTTGTCAGGTGTTGTTGGGGTTTCTGTCCTGCCCGGTTCCCACAATCGTTAAGTCCCAAAGACATCACACAGATGTCTACAGTAGTTATAAACTGATGGCCCATTAGCTCAGGCTTCTTATTAACTCTTACAACTTCTATTAGCCCATTATTCTTATCTGTGTTAGCCATGTGGCTCAGTACCTTATTCAGCGAGGCAGTCACATCTTGCTTCTTCTGTGGCTGGAACAGGACTGCGGACCAAGCTTTCCTCTTCCCAGAATTCTCCTGTTCTCATTGACCCGCCTGTGCTTCCTCTCTGGTTATCCCACCTATACTTCCTGCCTAGCTATTGGCCAGTCAGCATTTATTTAAAATATAATTAACAGAATACAGACCATTGTCCCACACCAGTCAGATTTGAGTGTGGCAAGCACCCTTTACCAGGCTAGCCATCTTGCTGGTCATGAATCTAATTTTTTGGTCACATTTATGTGGCACTTAAAAAAACATAGCGTTTTGTTGTTGTTTATATTGTGTGTGTGTTTGTATACATGTATGTGCTTGAGTTGTGTTCTTGCATGCTCAGAGAGCATTTGGAGGTCAGAGGATAATTTTCAGGATTCCGGTCTCTTATTGCCTGGGTTCCAAGGATCAAACTTAGATTATCAGACTTGAGTTATCTTATTAGCCTGTTGATATTTTTCATGCTTTATTTATTTATTTATTTATTTATTTATTTATTTATTTATTTATTTTCCCTTTCAAGGAGTGGACTTATCCTATGAGACGAGAGATGCAGGTATGACACCTTTTACTTTATTCAAAACAGCCCCCTTATTATTAAATAACTCTTACTTTACAAAGGAGATCTGCTGCCTCATGATCTGTAGGTTTGTCATATTTACCTAGTTATGAATATTATATAATGTATATATGCATTATGTGCCATTTGTGTCAGTAAGATTTTAATATGTGAAATGAATCTCTCTTTGATTAGATTCAGGGTCAGAACAATATATGGATGTGCTTAAGGAGTCACTGCTTCTCCCATTTCAAAATGAAATGTTTGGGTCTGGAGAGATGGCTCTGTGCTTAAGATCTCTTGCTGCTCAAGTGTCAGCTTTCCTACTGAATTTCCCTCTCTCAACCCTCATGTTTTATAAAACCCCAACTCTGCCTCAAACATGGAGAGAGATAAAGGCTCCCTTTTAAACTTTTAGCCATATGTGAGTATATATGAGAACTAACTTGATGGTATGAGGAATGTAAACATAAATAAAATGTGATTTATACTTGTTACGCTGTTGGGGCCATTCCTATCATCTCTGCACTCAAGATGCTGAGCAGGAGGACTGCCTGGATTTCAGGGTGAGCCTTAGAAGTCAGTGGGCTCAGTGCTGTCCATGGTGATTAATTATGGTTGGTTTTACTTTTGTTTACTGGGATAACATTTGGGTCCTGTTTCATCTTGTGCTACTTGTTTTTGAGGGGAGGACAGGGTCTGAGTGTGAGTTCCTGCTGGCCTGGAACTTAATCTGTAGCCTGCCCAGCTCAAACTCAAGATCCTCCTGCCTCAGCCTCCTATGTGCTGGGATTATAGGTATGTTCCACTGTACTTGCTCTTGTATTGCTTTTGTTTTGATCAAATAAAAGTTAGTGTGCATGTAATTCTAAAAGGAGGATTTTTCTTTTGTCTTTTTTTTTTTCAAGATTATAGCAGAGGGTAGAAGCTAGAGAGGTCTTATTAATGTGAACTTCAATAATATTATGTGCTTATTCTATCCAACCTTTTTATAAAAAGCACTGTAGGATCTCAAATCTCTGGCTTTTTAGAGTGAAATTTAAATTTGGAGCATCTCACTTGGATTCATAAAGGCACACCTGTGTTTCTCATACCAGTTTGCTAAATGTGCCTGGCAAATGCTCCCTGAATAAAGTTTTAATCAGAATATTGCAAAGCCCCTGCATGCACAGACAAATCCAGTTATATGTTATGCATTTACTATAGATTTATGTTTGACATAAGTATTTTTTCTTCTAGGAAGTTTTGCCTGGATTGTTCTTAGGCCCATACTCTTCTGCTATGAAAAGCAAGGTATGAACTTTAGCTTAGGTTCTCCAAGAGGCTTTAGTAAACCAACTTTTTATCAGGTAAGTTTTTAACGGTAAGAGTTTTAGACTAGGGAACATTTATATACAACTGTGTTCATACTACTTGTACCCACTTCCAATTTTACTAAACCATTAATAGTTTTGAAGTGAGCCAGATGGTGGTGGCACATACTTTTCATCCCAGCACTTGGGAGGCAGAAACAGACAGATCTTTGAGTTTGAGGTCAGCCGGGTCTGCAGAGCAAGTTCAGTACAGTCAAGACTACACAAAGAAACCCTATCTCAAAAAAAAAAAAAAAAAAAAGTAAAAAAGGAGTGTTTCACCATAAATTACAAGTGAGTTTTTATAATTTATTTTTCTCATGAAATCTGTTTTGTTGTTGGGTTTGTTTTTGATTTTTTTTTTTTTTTTGAGACGGTTTCACTGTCCTGAAACTTGCTTTGTAGACCAGGCTGGCCTTGAACTCACAGAGGTCTTCCTGCCTCTGCCTCCTGAGTGCTGGGATGACAGGCATGCACCACCACTATATTTTCCAGTCTACAATCTTTAGTAATTTATTTCCTATCTTAAAAATGTCACATCTTGGGGAGATTGCCAGGGGAGAGGGCGGATGTGAAGGGACAGGGAGATGAGTGGGATCAGAATACATGATGTGAAAGACACAAAGAATCAGTGAAAGTTAAGTAAATAAATAAATGTTATGTCTGTTCTTGCCAGACATCTTCTAAAAATATCAGATACATGCATGCAAAGTATCAAGTAGGAAACAGAGCATTTTTTAAATTTTATCAAAATAAGAGTGCATGTTTTGTAGTTAAGTCTTCTTTTAGAAGACTGGAGTCTGAGGATCATTTAGTTAGGAAAGCATTGTCCTGTAGACCCTACAAATTAGAAATTGACTTTTTCAGTTGCTCAGTTAAAATCAAGAGGGGTGTCTTTATTTTAGTATATAGTGTTGTTCCTGCCACCTTCTAAGGGATTCGTTATATGGATTATGGGAATGATACTAATTCTTTTTGAGTGTTACACAGTGTGGAACATTGTGTAGCAAGTATTTCCCCAAGGATTTGCTGATTCCAAAGTCAGTATAGTTCAGTCTGATACTTCCATGAAATAGTTTTCAGAATCATCTTGAAATTGGGAGATTCTTGACAATTGAGGTGGCTAACAAGGAAGCTTGGAAAGGGTAGGTTGTATAAAAGTGAATCAGCAAATAGAAATTTGACTTTCTAGAAGATAGTGTCAGCAAAGCTGTTGCCCCAGTAATATAATGTTGATCAAGTGCTGGATGTACCCTTATTAAAATGTATAATTATGCCTAATAATCGGTTTCACTGACATTTGTGTTACATGTGTATAAACTATTTTGATCATATTCAAACACCTGTTATCTTCTCCTTTCCCCCACAGACTCCCATTAATCCTTTTCCCAACTCATGTGTTTGTGTATGTCTATATATCTCAGAATTACCTTAATATAGCTCAAATTTCTTCTCATACCACCTCCAAAAAAGTACCTTTCAACAATAAAAAGTAATAACAAGGATAAAGAAACCTAGAGGGATAAATTCCTTTTTCAAGATTGATTTACTTAAGGCATTTCTCTTACTACATTCAAACACCATTTAAATAAAAGAGATAAATTCAAGTGCTTGGTAACCAGTGATCTATTTCTTTTTATAATTTTTGTCTATTTGTATATAAAAGATAAGATCATAGTTTTTTAATATAAATACATCTGTTGGAAGGTATAAATTTTTTTTTGCTCTTACATTAGAATTTCATTCTGATAAGGTTTGCTTTGCTTTCTCTAATGTACTTTCAAAGCTTTTAAAGGAGATTTCTTGCTTTGCTTTTCGTTTTTTGTTTGAGACAGTGTCTCATTATGTAACTCTAGCTGACCTTGAACTTGCCGTGTACATCAGGCTGACCTCTCTCCACTGCTGTGTCATAGTTAGGGTTTCTTTTGTTGAGACGAAATACCAAAACCAAAAGGCAAGTTGGAGAGGAAAGGGTTTACACATCAGCGTTGCCGTTCATCACTGAAGGAGGTCATGCTATCCCTGGGTTGTTGGTCCTGGGTTCTATAAGGTGGGCTGAGCAAGCCATGGGAAGCAAGTCAGTAAGCAGCAGCCCTCCATGGCCTCTGCATCAGCTCCTGCCTCTGGGATCCTGCCCTGTTAGAGTTAATGTTCTGACCTTCTTCAGTGAATTAAGAAATGAATGTTGAGGTAATTTTGGAGGTTGTATACATGTAAATATAGAAGGTTGGATTATTATTAATCCTATCAAACATTTCTAAGTAATCCATTAAACACTCCTGCTTATATCCCAGCATATACTTAGAAAATACAAAAATAACTGAACTCTGATCTATACTATCAAAGTTTGCTTTCAAATTTAACATTTAAGACTTTGAAAACCGCTGGACAGTGGTGGTGCATGCCTTTAATCCCAGTTCTCGGGAGGCAGAGGCAAACAAATCTCTTGAGTTTGAGGCCATCCTGATCTGCAAAGCAAGTTCCAGGACAGCCAGGACTGTTAACACAAAGAAACCCTGTCTCAAAAAAAAAAAAACCAAAAAACAAAAAGCAAACAAACAAAAAAAGACTTTAAAAACCCTATCGTCTTAGTCAGTTTGGACACCTGTGATAAAGTAGCAAGGCATGAATGACTTGCTGCCTATATTAGTGCCGGCATCACACAATATGCTCCTGGGAGCCTGGTTTGGGCTTTGAACAGTGTCTCCTTGCTTTAGTCACATGGACACAGAGTGAGCAGGTTCTTTTCTTTGTCATATAAAGGTTATATTCTGACATGGGATTTCCATCTCATGGCCTGTTTAAACTAAGACTTTATAGTACACTTTTTTTTCTTTCTGTGTATAATTGTAACTACTCAGGTAAAGGTAGTGTTTTTCTCCATTCTCACATAACAGAACTGAGCCACAGAGCCACAGGTCATGGGCAGAGCTGGGATTTCTAGCTTAGGTTCTCACGATTCTAACTAAACTCAATGGTTTTTGCCATGATTGTTAATAGTACTGGCTTCTTGACAAGTTATCTTTAAGTTCTCCTCAAGCTCTAGAGTTAAACATAAATAATGCCCATGCTAAATTCTAGAGAATAGTTTAATGTGTTAATCTTGAATCATTGAATTGTTTATGGATCTTGTCAGGTCAATTACCATAAAATTTGTTTTCATCTTCTGTAGTTAAGGAGTAGATAGGAGTCTTGTCTGTTGTCAAACTTCTGTGTTAGGGTGAGGTGATACTTTCTTTGTGTTTTAAACTATTATTTCTTCCCTTTTTTATAGCTCCCTATATTACAGAGACATGGGATAACTCATATAATTTGCATACGGCAAAATATTGAAGCAAACTTTATTAAACCAAACTTTCAACAATTATTTAGGTAAGAATTATTGCTATGATTTATAGAAAAATGTTAAGGTCAAAACATGTAATGTTTTATTATTGTTACTGATCTTTGAAGTGTTAAGGATTGAATGCAGAGCCTCAAGGATGCTAGGCAAGCATTCTGCCTGTCCTGTAATGTCCTTGTTTCAAGTTTGTTACACAATATAACTTTCCTTTGTACCCACCTATTTTGTAAATATCATCTATATGGAATATATTTTAATAGAATTTAAAATATTTAAATCATGTTCCTAATTCTAGAGGTTTAAAAAGATGTATAATAAAACGTATGTTTCTGTACTCTTATCTCCTAGATAGTCAGCCCCCTTCCCCAAAGGCATCTACTGTTATTTCTTCATTGTGTGTCCATTCAGAAACATACAGGCTAATTCCTATAGATAGGGCCGTTTTACTAGTTTTTTGAGTCTGCTCCTCGCCCCACTTCCCACTCCTATTTACACATGGCAGCAGTCAAGGAACAACCAAGTTTAGACTTGGTCTTTTGTTCACAGAAGCGTGTGCCAGGTTGGCCCTCAGGCTTTGGGGCATTCCCGGCCATAGGAGAATTGGGCTTACAGATGTGAGCTTCCAAGCCTAGCTTTACTTTTCAAGATACTGGATATTTTTGGTTTGGTTTGGTTTTTGATTTTTTGAGACAGGGTTTCTCTTTGTAACAGCCTTAACTGTCCCGAACTCACTCTCTAGACCAGGCTGGTCTCGAACTCAGAGGGAAACGTCTGCGTCTTCTTCCCAAGTGCTGGGATTAAAGGTGTGTGCCACCACTGATCTGGCTCAAGACACTGTTTTTAATTATGTGTTTTTCTGTGAATGTGTACACTGAGTGTAGATACCCCCGGAACTGGATTTAACAGGTGATGGTTACCTGCCAGATTTGGATGTAGGAAGCAAATTGAAGTCATCTTTGAGAATAGTCTATTGTCTTAACCACTGAGCCATCACTCTAGCTCTCATACCTAGCTTTTTAAAAAAAATTTCTTATTTGCACTTCAGGGCAGGCCCCATGCCCAGGAATGGCCCAGGAAAAGTTGGCCAACACGTGTGCTTTTTGTTTTACTTTGTTTCACCTTGTTTTGTCTTGTTGGGTTTTGTTTATTTGTTTTGATTCTCATTTTTTGCATATGTGGGTGTGTGTGCGCATGTGTCTATTTTTAAAGAAAAACCTTTTATATGTATGGGTGTTTTGCCTACATTTATGTCTGTGTATCAGTTGTGTGCTTGGTGCCCATGAAGGCTTGAAGAGGACATCAGATCCCCTGGAACTGAAATTACAGGTGTGAGCTGCTATGTAGATGCTGGAAATCCAACTTCAGTCCTGGAAGAGAAGCCAGTTCACTTAATAATAATTAATACCTAATTTTTAATACTTAATAGTAATTAAGTGTACTGTTTCTCTAGCCCCCACACCCAGCTTTTTATATGGTGGATCTTGGAATTTTAACTCAGGCCCTCACAGTTGCATGGCTAGTGCACTACCCACAGAGCTATCTCTCCAGTCTCCCCCAAACCCACTCTTTATTTTTTAAAATTTTTTTGAGAACAGGGTCTTATGTAGCCAAGGCTGATCTTAAATTGAATGATCCTTTTTCCTCAGCTTCCAAAGGCTTGGGATTTTATGAACACTGTACCCAATGCCTTGTTGTGCATTTCTATGTTTGCAGATTTTTTTGTATATTCATATGTCTATATAACATGTAATAATTATCATTTAATTTATATGTAAATATACTGATAGGGTAAATTTGTAGAATTGTATCTGAGAATATGAGCACATTGCATTTTAATAGGTTGCAGACTACCCTCCAGTGTCATGTGTTAGTTTACATCTCACCATCAGGAATGAGTGACTGCTCTCTTAGTGCTTCTCCGAGACAGCTATAAAACAGGAAAGTTTGTTTCCAGTCTGCCGGAGTTAAATACCTTTTCATACAGTTTTAGCTTTCTCATTTTTATTTATTTATTTATTTTAATTTTTTGGGACAGGGTTTCTCTATATAACAGCCCTGGCTGTCCTAGAATTTGTGTTGTAAACTAGACTAACCTTGAACAGAGATCCACCTTTCTCAGCCTCCAGAGTATTGTGATTAAAGGTATGTGCTACCATCACTCAGCTTCTCATTTATCTTACTGGTAAGTGCAGAATAACTAATGGTCTTAATATTGGTTATTTTAGATTCATTTAAAAATAAAGTTGGGCTTAGTGATTCATGCCTATAATCCTACCACCAGGAGACTGAGGCAGGAGGATTATAATTCAGTACCAGCCTGGACTCCATACTGAGACTGACTTATAAGACAAATAGTATAACAGTAATAAAGACTATATTACACATGCTAAAGATATAAGGTAAATGAGCCCCTTGATTATTGGGAGAAAAGTATTGCCAATGTTTTCTTTAATATTTTTGTAGAAATACCCTGTGTCTATATAAAAGTATTTGTTAAAGATATCTTCTTTAACTTGGAATATGTAAGCCAAATATTAAAAATATCTTAATGCTTGTTTTACTGGTTGTAAATATGAATATAACTTATATACATAGGGCACTCAAATGTATGTGCAGCTAATAGAATATTACATAATTAAACAGGAGGGAAATAGACATGTGTGTTGATCTTAGTGATTTCAAGAACAAAGAAGGGTGCATGTAGTATTTAAATAGTTAAAATATTTATACTTTATTTATATAGGTATTTTGCCTGATGTATATCTGTGTACCATGTGTATGCCTGTGAAAATTAGAAGAGGGCCTTAGATCCCCTGGAACTAGTGTTACAGTATGAGCTGTCTTGTTGGTGCTGGGAATCAAACCCAGGTCCTCTGCAAGAGCAGCCAGTACTCTTAATTGCTGAGCCATCTCTCCAGCCCCAAATTTATTTATTCTTTTTTTTTTAAATTTATTTATTATGTATATAGTGTTCTGGGCACCAGATCGCATTATAGATGGGTGGAGCCATCATGTGGTTGCTGGGAATTGAACTCAGGACCTCTGGAATAGCAGTCAGCTCTCTTAACCTCTGAGCCATCTCTCCAGCCCCAAGTTTATTTATTCTTATATGTACATTGAAAACTCCTGAATCAACATGCTTGAAGCTTGAATGGCTGCTTTTGAGAGGGGAAAGTCATGGTCCAGGATAGTAAGGAATCTGTTTTTCATCCTATACAATTTTCCACTGTTAGAATTGTCTTTTTTTGGGGGGGTGTCTTTATTTTTTAATTTTGTTTTTATTTATTTTTGTTTGTTTTTTTCCTTTTTTTCTTTCTGCAAGTTAGTATGCTGCCCAGACACAAAATTGATCTTCCTGCTTCAGCCTCCCATGGGTATTGCTGGATTGTGCTGTACTATTAGAGAAGATTAAAAATTTAAAAAAACTCTCCTCAAGATGAGGTTTAGGTTTTTTTGTATACCACTATCCTTGAACTCAGATTTGCCTTCCTCTGTCTCAGAGTTTAAAGCCATGGGCACCTAGCCAAATTTGTAAATATTGTTGCTTTGTTTTTTCTTTTTTCTTTTTTTTATTTTAGAGTTGTTTTTAACTGTGAGGAATGTTTGCTTCTTACATTTTTAGGCATGCAGGAAATGTCTGACTTATTGCAGTTTTAGAGTTGGGGGTATTGATGGCAAGATCCAAAAAGAGCAGGGAACTAAAGTGACCTGGGTTAGGGGTGGTAGATAAGAGCTGGCTGTGAGCTGGGTATGTTCCCTGTAAAGGCTTCTGTCCTGGTATTCACTTTGTCTGCAGCTAGGGTGTTGATGGTGCTGCCTTCCTCCTGTTTTCAGGGAGCAATTGTGCAATGATTAGGAGGAGCCTGGGATGTACAGAGCAGCGACAAGAAGGCTGTTATTAAGTCATATGTCATTCTGCAGTCCTGGGGAAATACTTCAGAAAGTGGACATTCCCCGCCCTGCCTAGACTTTCTAGGATGTTGATAATCGTACTGGTTGCTGATGTTTGAAATGGCACCATGGACCCGTCAAGTAGTGTAGGTCACCACTGTTGTCAGACCCTTGTGTGTACATGGACTTCCCCTTGATCTTGACCTTTAACATCTCTTGGTTAAGACATGAGTTTTTTGAAGTTGTTACCTTTAAAAGGGTCATTGAAACCCCATATTTTTAAAAGCCAAAATGATTTATAATAATGATTACATAATTTAACTACAGTTTGTCGTTAAACATAAAGTGATGCTGAATAGTTAAAGTTAGAAATTTTTGAAAACTATACTAAGCATAGCATAATGGTGGCACCTTATTTTGATTTCTAGCATAAAATTCCAGGATGAAAATTCCCTTAGCTGTTTTTGCTTTACCGAAGATGACTGGTTGATTCAGTGTTTCACAAAACTTGTTTTTTAAAAAATATATTATTTTTGCTGGGTGGTGGTGGCGCATGCCTTTAATCCCAGCACTTGGGAGGCAGAGGCAGGCGGATCTCTGTGAGTTCGTCAGCCTGGTCTACAAGAGCTAGTTCCAGGACAGGCTTCAAAGCTACAGAGAAACCCTGTCTCGAAAAAGAAAATGTATTATTTTCAATAATATGTAGATGTGTGATTATGTGCATGTGAGTGCAGGTGTCCTTGGAGGCCAATGGCATCCAGTCTCCCGGGAGTTGAAGTTAGAGGCAGTTGTAGGCTACCTGATGTAAGTGCTGGGAATTGAACTCAGCTCCTCTAAAAGAGCAGCACATGTTCTTCACTGCTAAGTCGTCTCTCTATCCCCTTGTTTTGTTTTTTGAAACTAGGATCTTAGTAGCTCAGGCTGGCCTGGATCTTGACAGTCTTGCTGCCTCGCCCCTCCCCCCCCACCAAATGTTGGAACTGCAGACTGAGCCACCATACCATTTTGTTGTTTAGCTCCCTCTCCCTCAGTCAAACATTAAGCTTCCTTTGAAATGTCCTCAAACCTTCAGAGGCAAGGAACACTTTCAGAACTCTAGAGAACCATCTTCTGCTCTGAGGAGTGAATGTACTTTTTGTACTAATTTTCTAGATCCTCTTGGAAGCTCTCTTTACTGCTTATGGTTTTTTTTTAAATATATTTATTTATTTATTATGTGTACAATATTCTGTCTGTGTGTATGTCTGCAGGCCAGAAGAGGGCACCAGACCTCATTACAGATGGTTGTGAGCCACCATGTGGTTGCCGGGAATTGAACTCAGGACCTTTGGAAGAGCAGGCAGTGCTCTTAACCACTGAGCCATCTCTTCAGCCCTGCTTATGGTTTTTGCTTTAACTAGATAAACATTTTATACTGAAATTATAGAGGCTGTGTTGCACGGCTTTAGATATCCTCAGGCAACATAAATTTATGGCACGGTTCTTTGGTATATGATACTTAGAAAATTATTTTGTACTTTTTTAATCAAAGCATTATCAGGAACTGGAGAGATGGCTCAGTGGTCAAGACCACTGACTGCTCTTGCAGAGGACCTGGGTTTGGTTCCCAGAACCCACATGGTGGCTTACAACCTTTGTAACTTGAATTTGAAGGGCATACATGTGCGAACATACATACACATACAGGCAAAACACTCATACACATAATAAAGTCTTTTTAAAAAAGTAATTATCAAACCAGGCAAAAGGCGTAAAGTTTGGGAAGAAGATGTGGAGTCTCTATTTGGGAGTAATGTGGGGGTCAGAGAATGAATATGCTCTAAATATATTGTATGCATATATGAAATTCTCAAAGAACTAACAAGAATATGAAAAATAATTATAAATCTTCACACACTAAAAATATTGGCCAGACAGTGGTGGTGCACACCTTTAATCCCAGCACTCGGGAGGCAGAGGCCAACCTAAACTACAAAAGCTAGTTCCAGGACAGGCTCCAAAGCTACAGAGAAACCCTGCTCAACAAGCAAACAAATAAACACACAAAACCATATATAGAAGTGGAGCTCACAGATTAAGTATAGTTTAAAAAGTCATATTGGGGGCTGGAGAGATGACTCAGCAGTTAAGATTATTGACTGCTCTTCCAGAGGACCCAGGTTCAATTCCTAGCACCCACATGGCAACTCACAACTGTCTGTATCTTCCAGAGGACCCAGGTTCAATTCCTAGCACCCACATGGCAACTCACAACTGTCTGTAACTCCAGTTCCAGGGACCTAATGTCTATGGCAAAACACCAATGCACATAAAAAAAAACTTTGTTTTTAAAGTCAAACTTTTAATTAAACATTACATACATGAGTTGCTTGCATTGAAGATTAATAGAAATGTAATTGAGGATTATAATTTATATTTTTTAATACAGAGATAGGATGTTATTTATTTGGGATTTAAAGCATCAAGTTTTTGTATGGAGATTTATCTGAGAGTATACTTATCATAAATATTTTTTTTTCAGATATTTAGTTTTGGATATTGCAGATAATCCAGTTGAAAACATAATACGTTTTTTTCCTATGGTAGGTATAAATATTTTAATATCACTTAAGATTTACGATTTAGACCTCTTAATTTAGATTCTAAAACTACTTCTACTTCATTATGACTGAAAAAAATGTAGGTTTATTTTAAAGACAGTAAATTACTTAAACCTTTAAAAGTATCACTGAGGACTTTTTATTTTTATATTTATTATTGTGTGTTGCCTGAATAGATGTGTGTGTACCACTTGCATGCAAAAGACCTCAGAAGTCAGAGTATTGAATCTCATAGAACTGAAGTTATGGATGACTATGAGCCAGTTTTGGTGCTGGAAATCAGCCCCTGGTCTTCTGCAGGGGCAGTGAGTGGCAAGTGTTAACTGCTTAACCATCTCCCAGCCCCCTCACTGAAGTGTTTTGTTGTTGTTATTTTAATTGTATTACATTTTATGTATGTGTGCTTATGCATGAACACAATTGTGTATGCCATGTGTGCGTATGAAGATCATAGGGCATAGGGAGTCTGTTTCCCCACCATGTGTCCTAAGATGGAACTCGGGTCAGGCTTGGTGGTAGGTGGCTTTATCTGTTGAGTCATCTTACTAGCTTAAAAGTTTTGATTTTTAAATATTTTAAAAATCTTTTTTAAAGATTAGGTCTTTCTTTGTAACTCAGGGTGACTTTAAACTTGAATCTTTTCAACTCAGCCTCTTTTTGTTTTATTATATATGTTTATCTTTTTTGTGTGTGTGTGGTTTTTCGAGACAGGGTTTCTCTGTAGCTTTTGGAGCCTGTCCTAGAACTAGCTCTTGTAGACCAGGCTGGCCTCGAACTCACAGAGATCTGCCTGCCTCTGCCTCCCGAGTGCTGGGATTTAAGGCATGCGCCACCACCGCCCGGCTATATGTTTATCTTATTCTATGTTTTACTGTAACCTGTTGTCTCTTGCCCACAGACTAAAGAGTTTATTGACGGAAGCTTACAAAATGGAGGTAAATATATTTTCTGTTATTAAAAGATTTATTTAGGTTAGGAGTATTTTGTCTACACGTATGTATTTGCACTACATGCATGTCTGGTGCCTGCAGAGGCTAGAAGAGATCACATGATCCACTGGAACTGGAGTACAGGCAGTTGGAAGCTGCCATGTGGGTGCTAATAATCGAACCTGATCTTCTACAAGAGCCACAATGCTCCTAACTACAGAGTCATCTCTCTAAACTATAATGTTTGTTTATTTTTAGGAAATTATTTTGTTGCAGTTATCTTTTGGTTGATAGTTTTTTGAAATGTAGGATAGGAGAATTCTATTTTTATATGGTAGACAGTTTTTTGTATTTTCCAGCTACTTCATCTTGTTAAACCTTTTAAAAATTTTCCACCCAGCTACTTTCAATTTCTCTCAATCTGTTGTATTGTGTGCATAATTAAAATAAAGACTTGAAA